TGCTCTCTAATAATGAAACAACTCATGTTGTGATAACCCCTGACAACTGCTGCTATCCTTCATGTGGTTGAGTCAGGTGTCACAAATAATAATAATTTATTATTTATACCCCGCCCATCTGGCTTGGTTTCCCCAGCCATTCTGGGCGACTTCCAGCAAAATATTAAAATACAATAATTCATCAGATATTAAAAGCTTCCATAAACAGGGCTGCCTTCAGATGTCTAAAAGTCAGATAGTTGTTTATTTCTTTGACATCGGGGGGGGGGGCATTCCACAGGGCGGGTGTCACTACCGAGAAGGCCCTCTGCCTTATTTCCTTCCAGCACTAAACCAAATGTTGGCAGGTGCAGAACTGATAAGATGCCTTGTTAGTGACGTAGCCTGCTGTCCCCACCAAGACTTCCAGGAAGCAAATAAATGGCTTTTCATCTCTTGTCTGAAAAACAGGTCCAGATTATTTGATAACCAAATAGCCTGTGATTTCATGGAATTGTAGAGTTGGAAGGGACCACGAGGGACATCTAGTCCAACCCCTGCAATGCAGGAATCTTTTGCCCATGGTGGGGTTCGAACCCACAACCCTGAATTTAAGAGTCTCATGCTCTAGCAACTGAGCTAACTCTAAATATGCTGCACACAATCTCTGCGGCCCATTTTGGGTCCCTGTCCAGCTGGTGCCTATAGACCCACCCTGGTTATGTTATTTCTGATCCCCTTGATCCACTAGATCACTCACCTGGTCTGGAGGAATCTCTCCGGTTTTGGTTTCTCTCTTCCAACCTGCTTCCAACTTTCCGTTCGTTTTACTCCGTTTCTGCATCGGTTTGCAAACGTTATTTTTCCGAAAACGTCGACGTGGAAATTCGTGTGTGTTTTCGTTTTCCTTTTCTCTGAACAGATGCGCCGTCTCAAGCAAGCTCCCCAAACACAATGCATTTTTATCAATTCCCCCACCCAAAAAACACGCCCACTGTTATGCACGCTTTCTCCAATATACAGTCATACCTCAGGTTGAATGTGCTTCAGGTTGAGCGTTCTCAAGTTACGCTCCGCGGCAACCCGGAAGTAGCGGAGCGCGTTTGCTTCTGGGTTTCACCACTTGCGCATGCGCAGACGCTCAAAATGATGTCACGCGCATGCGCGGAAGCAGCAAAACGCAACCCGCGCGTGCGCAGATGCTCAGTCGTGTCTTCCGTTCTATTCAGGATGCGAACGGGGCTCTGGAACGGATTCTGTTCACATCCCGAGGTACCACTGTATGCCTCTTTTTTTGGGGGGGTGCACATTCTTTTGAGGACGCGGGTGGCGCTGTGGGTAAAGGCCTCAGCGCCTAGGGCTTGCCGATCGAAAGGTCGGCGGTTCGAATCCCCGTGGCGGGGTGCGCTCCCGCTGCTCGGTCCCAGCGCCTGCCAACCTAGCAGTTCGAAAGCACCCCCGAGTGCAAGTAGATAAATAGGGACCGCTTTCTAGCAGGAAGGTAAACGGCGTTTCCGTGTGCAGCTCTGGCTCGCCAGAGCAGCGATGTCACGCTGGCCACGTGACCCGGAAGTGTCTCCGGACAGCGCTGGCCCCCAGCCTCTTGAGTGAGATGGGCGCACAACCCCAGAGTCTGTCAAGACTGGCCCGTACGGGCAGGGGTACCTTTACCTTTACCTTTACATTCTTTTGGGTTAGATGAACTGCGCTTGAAAATGCAGAAAAGCACAGATTTTGAAGGATAGCTGTGCTTGGGTTCTCAGTGCAACTTGGATAGGGTCGCGTCTGAACACATTTCTGCCCTGTTCCTAACAACCCACACCACTTCCATCCTGACGTTCTGGGTTCTGTTATCGTGTGGTCCCCGTCTACAAAAACAGGCCATGCTACTGCTGTTTTTCTCTCTGTGTGTGTGTTTTTCTCTGTGTGTGTTCGTCCATCTGTGCTGTTTTTAGATCCTATGCATGGTCTCCCCTCTTCTGACTTCCCTTCAGTCCTCAACCTCTCTCCCCTCGGCCCCCCGCATCAACCACCACCACCGCCCCTCCCTCCCGCCTCATTTCCCCTCCGGGCTTATACAAGTGTGTTTCCTCCTTCTGCATTCTGCAAAGATCTCTCAGCAAAAAAATAAAAAGAGAGAGAAAAAGCAGAGCTGATGGGGATGTGGGGAAGGAGCCGGGGCGAGTCGTGGGGGTGTGCGCGCATTGGGGGCTGGGGCGGAAAGTGGAGCAGCGGGGAAGGGGGGAAGGGATCCTGACAACACTATGTCTGGGCCTGGGCCAAGCAGAGACACTCTTCACCAAGGGGGCCTTTTGGATCTCATTGCTTCGGGGGCTGCAAAGGACTCGGGGAAGGGGGGGGCAAGGGAGCAGGCAGTGTCGCCTCGCATTAGAGCACTGCGGCTGATGCCGTGGCTCTGCGTCGCCTGCGGAGATCTGAGTGCCTGGCTTCGCGGCGGCAGAAGAAAGGTCACCATTCAGACCACATCTCCCCTGGGATAAAAAGGTTAAACCCTCGTGGGCTCCCCGAACCCGCCCACCGTCCCCCTCTCCTGGAGACCCCGGTCCCCAAACCCGTGGTGTCCCACCGCGCCAGCCACAAAGAAGTGTCCCCCGCCCCTCCATGCCCAACTCAGGAAACGCAAGAAAGACGCTTCGCTGAATGAGAACTTCTCGTCTGCAGAGGCCTGAACTCTCAGCCTCATCCGCTCAGCCTCTCTTTCCCCTTCCTGCCTCCATTTGTTGGTTTTTCCTCTCCCTGACTCTTAACCCCATATGTCTTGGGGTTGCAGTGGAAGAAAACTCTGGCTATTTCTCTACACACAGAGACACCCAACGCTGCAAGCGGCATTGGTTCTGCACCTTGAGTGTGCAGCGATGGATTAACGAATTCTTAACACTGGCTAATTAATCATTCATTAACTCTTTATAAACTATTAACGAACAGTTGTCACTGCGAACAAGCACCATACCAGTTAGCCCCGGGGGGGGGGGGGAGAGAGACAGGATGAGAGAGGAGTGTGTGTGTGTGTGTGTGTGTGTGTGTAAAGCAAGGCTTAGAGGTCAGTAGCAGAGGCACCAACTTCTCTGGAGGTTTGAGGGGGCCAGACGTGATGTCGTGACACGGAGCCCTCTGAACATTGAGGGGGTCATGTCCCTCAAAAAAAGATTGGGGGACTCCAAAGTGCATCGGCCCCCAGGAGCTGACGCTCTTGGTCGGTAGGATGAAGGCATGTGGGGTGCAGGCCTGAGATGGAAGATGGGGGGTTAGGGGTGGAGGAGTTTAGGGGTGTAACCCCCATGTGGCCTGGCTCTAGGTGTGAGGGCATGGTGCCCTTTAGTGGCCCAGCTTGGTCAGCAAGGCCTTGGCAGTGTTAACGGGAGGTGAGGAGAGGAATATGTTTATATTTTTTTAATTAATTTAATTTATACGCCACCCTTCACCCAAAGATCACAGAGCTGTTTATAGTATTTAAAACACATAATAACCAAAGTAACCAAGTGGATCCAGCCGTCGTTTTAATGTCTCATAGTACCCCAGAGAATGGTACACTAGAGCATCATGGGAAATCAAAATGGAGCGCCTGTTGGGGCAACTGCCCAGCTGTGCCAGTTTTTGCAGAGGCAATCAGGGCTTTCCTTATGTTCTAAAATCCGCCCCTAAAATCTCCCCTTCTGAGGTTGGGATAAAAACTATGCAGGTTCGATTCTGGTCGGACTTCGGCGAGTCTGCCAAATGTTATTTGGATAGGCTATTTCCCCACCCAACTTGAGAAATTTGTTTTCGTTGGGGAGGGTGGGTGGGAACTGGGGGGAAAGTAAGGTGTTTGTGGGATGTGGTGGGGAGACACACAGTGCACAGTTTAACTCTGGGATTGGCTCGTGTGAAATGCCTGTGACAGCCTGAATGGCTTTCAAAGAGGATCGGACAAATTCATGACTGTCCAGGGTTTCAGGCAGGCTTCTCCTAGGCCTAGATGAAGATGCAGGGGGGTTGAACCCGGAATCTTCTGTATGCAAATGAGACGCTGTGCCAATGAACTGTAGCCCTTCCTCAGAAGTCCTGGGTTCAGATTTGTAGTGGGTCACTGATGTGCTGGGAAAACCGGCACGGTTTAGTAGTTTGAGCGTGTGGCTTGGACTGTGGATCCTTGGCTTCAAATCAGTGCACAGCTATGAAGCTCACTGGGCACCCTTGGGCCAGTCACTGTCTCTCAGCCTAGCCTCCCTCACAGGGTTGTTGTGAGGATAACATAGGGGGAGGTGGGACCATGCGCACTACTGACTTGAGCACCTTAAAGAAGGGGTGAGATATACACCTTTAGACGCCGGGTGAAAACATTCCTCTTCAACCAGGCCTTTGGCAAGAAATGTCCTTTTAAATGTGCTTGGGGAGGGGAATTACTGGTTTGCTTTTGTTCTTATTTTTATTATGTATTTTATATATGTATACGGTGATACCTCGGTTCTCAAACGTAATCTGTTCCGGAAGACCGTTCGAGTGCTGAAACGTTCGAAAACTGAGGCCCAAAGGGCTGTCGGCAGATTCAATTGAGAAAATTGAAAAACACAAAGTGGAAGCCGTTTGACTTCCGAGGCGCGTTTGAAAACGCATTTACCGTTCCGGGTTTTCGGCGTTTGGGTTCCAAAATGTTTGTCAAGGGAGACGTTCGAGAACCAAGGTACCACACTGTATATTGTAATTTTATGTTGTGAACTGGCCTGAGATCTACGGATGAAGGATGGTATGATGATGATAATAATCTAACTGCAGCAGCAGCAGCAACACAAGATGGTATAATAAATAATAAATAATAATAATGATACAGCTGACCAGGATTTGAACCTGGATCTCCCCAGTCCTAGCCTACCATACTACTAGTTCATTCTCAATAACAAGTGCAACCACCTTGCACATTTAACATGCAATAGGAATCATGATTAATAAATGAAGATGATGTAAGGGTGTGTGTGTGTGTGCCTTCCTTTCTTCATATCTCCGTTCTGCAATCCAACCACCAGATAGTTGCCAGCAGCTGGAGAGTGGCTTGGACCCTGAGCACCCGCAAGGTGCAAGCACCCAAGACCTAGATGAGTCCCAAATCCGTTTGCAGCTGAAGCGCAAATTGCAAAGGAACCGGACGTCTTTCACCCAGGAGCAGATAGAGGCGCTGGAGAAAGGTGAGGAAGGGACGAAGGTGGCTGAAAACAGGTGAGGTTGCCAGCTGGCTAGAATTTCATCTTTCTGGTTAGGAGCCCAAACCGGAGCATTTTGAGCGAGGGAAAGAAAAACGGCGTCCGCTGTTTGCACTGTTAGCAGACCCGTGTGCACATCGTGTCTGCGCATTAAATGAGTTGCAACGGAGGGAGCTTTTCTTAAAGGTAAACAATGCAGACTCATCCATTCCACATTGAACACATGGCAATTGCCTCTGATAAATGGTGTGCAGAGGTGGGTAGCACCGCTTTCTATCTGCACATATGTGCCGTTGCCACCTTACAATTCATAGCTAATTAGTCCGACCCCCTGCAATGCAGGAATATGCAGCTGTCCTGTGCGGGGATCAAACCTGCAACCTTGGCATTGCCAGCCCCCCAACTGAGCTATCCAGAGAGCCATCCAGCCGGCTAGGCTTGGAGTCCAAGACTTGAGTCTGCTTACCTTCACCCTGAGGTGCATCTCAGCTGAGGGGCTGCCATCTTTATCAGGCAGGTTATGGTTGGAAATCTTATTCCATCCATATTTGATTTCCTACTTGGATAGCCTGCACAGTGTACGTGTGAATTAGGAAGGGAATTAGGAAGAGATTGTGCGTGTGTGTTTTATTGATGTGGGAGACCCCATGACCCGCGCTAGCCTTCCATGGGTATAGCCTCTCAATTCTTCTCAAGTTGCAGTTCCCTCCAAATGGGGTGTGTGTCATCATGACGCTAAACAGGGTGACTCCTGTAGTCTCTTCCTTCTGTTACCTATGCTGACTTGTTAGATGGCAGCAGGTGAAGAAGATGGAGAGGGGGGAACCAAGGTCTTTTTGATGCATCCTGGGATGCGGGTGGTGCTGTAGGTTAAACCACAGAGCCTAGGACTTGCCGATCAGAAGGTCGGCGGTTCAAATCCCCGCGACGGGGTGAGCTCCTGCCAACCTAGTGATTTGAAAGCACATCAAAGTGCAAGTAGATAAATAGGTACCGCTCCGGCGGGAAGGTAAACGGCGTTTCCGTGCACTGCTCTGGTTTGCCAGAAGTGGCTTAGTCATGCTGGCCACATGACCCGGAAGCTATATACCGGCTCCCTCGGCCAATAAAGCGAGATGAGTGCCGCAACCCCAGAGTCAGCCACGACTGGACCTAATGGTCAGGGGTCCCATTACCTTTAAGAACATCCCATTCAAACAGGAGTTGCAGATAAGGCCAGGAAAACTCCCCTGGCGCTGTCGGTAGCAGCAGAAGAAATTTTTGTGGGAAGACACAGTTACGCTCAGTATGGATCGCACTAAATCTCACACAGGGGATATCCTTAAACTTCCAAACAACTGGACAGTGTGATTTAGATTGATACTTTGTTTTACCAAAAACCAGACTCCTCTCAGGAGAAATGGTAACTCTGTGTATGTTCAGAGGCACTTCGCTGACAATGTAATAAAATTATTTAGTCGGTTGCGGCAGACTTGTTATATCAAGATGGGACCTAAGAGAAGAAGATGTGTGTGGCCATCTGGTGGGCCAGAGTGGTACTGCAGCCTTGATTCACAGTTTGCTTTCTTGACCTTGCATTGCAAGCCGTGCCACTTTTAAACAATAAGCTGGTCTGAGCGCCGCAACCCCAGAGTCGGTCACGACTGGACCTAATGGTCAGGGGTCCCTTTACCTTTTATGCCCCTTAAGGCATCCTACAATAGAGTGTAAGAACATGGGAGTAGGTTCTACTTCACCAGGGGCTAGAAATGATGGTGAAACAGGGGAAACATGTCTCCCAAACTCTCACTCCCTCGCCCTCCCATCTTCCTCAGAATTTGAGCGCACTCACTACCCCGATGTCTTTGCCCGTGAACGCCTGGCAGCAAAGATCGACCTCCCGGAGGCCCGGATCCAGGTATGGCAAGGGCATCCGCTCGGCTGTGGGACAGGCCAACCTATGCTTCCTTCTCATTCCCCGTTGATTCCATTCCACTGTTCTCCCCCCATATCCAGGTCTGGTTCTCCAACCGCCGAGCTAAGTGGCGCCGGGAGGAGAAGCTGAGGAACCAGAGGCGCCAGGCGGGGGGCACCGGGGGCCACCTGAGCATAAACAGCAGTTTTGGCTCCGCGGGCAGCACTGTCTACCAGTCCCTCCCCCAGCCGACGGGGTCAGGTGAGGGCCGTGGACCCGGCTGACTCGTTCCCATTCCCCCATTCTTTCTTGGCTAGCCCATCCCTGTCCGTCTCAGGGAGGCCCTGTTGAACGTGGCCCTCGCCCCCAGTAAGAAGGGCTATCCACCATTGATAACCGCATGACTTCTCTCTCTGTTACAGGCACCATGTTGGGCCGTACGGAAAGCGGCCTCAGCAACAACTATGGCGCCCTTCCGCCCTTGCCGACCTTCTCTATGGCCAACAGCCTCCCTATCCAGGTAAGCTGCTCAGAACCCCTTCTCAGACCCAAGCCCACGTTCCCATAGCTGTCAGCCTTCCCTTTTTTTGTGGGAAATTCCCTTATTCCAGCGCCATTTCCCGTTGCTATCCCGGATTGTTAGATATCCTGTAGACTGTCCCCAGGGACGCAGGTGGCGCTGTGGGTAAAAGCCTCAGCGCCTAGGGCTTGCCGATCGAAAGGTCGGCGGTTCGAATCCCCGCGGCGGGGTGCGCTCCCGTTGCTCGGTCCCAGCGCCTGCCAACCTAGCAGTTCGAAAGCACCCCCGGGTGCAAGTAGATAAATAGGGACCGCTTACCAGCGGGAAGGTAAACGGCGTTCCATGTGCTGCGCTGGCTTGCCAGATGCAGCTTTGTCACGCTGGCCATGTGACCCGGAAGTGTCTCCGGACAGCGCTGGCCCCTGGCCTCTTAAGTGAGATGGGTGCACAACCCCAGAGTCTGTCAAGACTGGCCCGTACGGGCAGGGGTACCTTTACCTTTACCTTTAGACTGTCCCCAGGACAGGTGAGGCTACTGATCCCTTATTTTCAAATCTGAAAGTTGACAGCTATGCATTCCCTTCTGGGCAAGCTTCCGAGGGCCACATGCCGGGGTGGGTGGGACCAAAGGCAAAAAGTGGGCGGGGCGACAGATGAGAATCTTTCCTATTGTGCTAGAGGCGATAGTTCAGAGGTTCCCAAACTTATTTGTCCTACCCCACCCCCCTGGAAATCTACCTTCTTTAAGCAAACAAACAGAAAGATGCAGTGACAAATGTGCATTCTTTTATGTATCTGTATTTCTACCTATGTCCTGCGACGTAGCAAAGGGAGATATTGTAAACCAGACACCTTGAAGCCGCAGCTTGCCTGCCATTGGACAAATAGGCAGGCAAGCGGCGATCCGCTCCCTAGGCCTGGGTGAAGCCGAAAAGGGCCCACCCAATCCCAGGAAAGCCCCTCGCCTCCAGCACGACTGCAGGATCCAGGGGAGGCGTTTTTTGCCATCCCGCAACAGTGCCTCACCTGGCGGTTAAGTGTCATTACACAACAGATGAAAAATGTACGAATGGTTTTCACAATTTTATTTTCTTCTCTTCTTTCTTAATGCTTCCACTGCCCCCTTATTTTTATCCAACGTCACGCAATTGCACCTGAGGCTACTACTGCCCCCCTGGATCATTCCAGTGCCCTCCCACCGCCCACTTAGGGAAACACTGGGCTAGTTTATAATTTATTGAATTTATATACCGCCCTATACCCGGGAGTCTCAGGGCGGTTCACTGAATAAAATCAAGATATAAAACCACAAAATACCTAATAAAAAATAAAAACAACAACCCAATAGCCCCCCCCCCAAAAAAAACATTTAAAAGGGCATAGGATGTAAAATTGGATCAACCAAAGGCCTGGTTAAAAAGGAACGTTTTTGCCTGGCGCCTAAAGGTGTACAATGAAGGCACCAGGCGAACTTCCCTGGGGAGAGCATTCCACAGACAGGGAGCCACTGCAGAGAAGGCCGTTTTCGTGTTGCCACCCTCCAGACCTCTTGAGGAGGAGACACATGAAGGAGGGCCTCAGAAGATTATCTCAGGGTCCAAGTATGTTCATATGGAAAGAGGCGGTCTTTGAGGCATTGCGGTGCTGAGCCGTTTAAGGCTTTATAGATCAAAACAAGCACTTTGAATTGGGCCTGGAAACGAATTGGTGGCCAGTACAGTTGGACTAGGATCAGTGGAGTATATGCTCAAACCGTCTCACTTTGGTGAGCAACCTGGCCGCTGAATTCTGTACCAGCTGAAGTTTCTGAACCATCTTCAGAGGTCTTCCATCCAGATGAGGAAGAGGCATTATTGGAGTTCAAGATTCCATGTCCTAGCCAGGCAAAGACACCTGGGATGTGAAGCAGGACCAGCGAGGGGTGTGGCCTGGGGAGAGGGGCGTGGCCTGAGGTGCCACACCCTGGAGCTGAAGACCCCTGCCTTAAAGACACATGTTCAGGGCCAGGCAGGCAGGCAGGCTGATTGAGATCCTTTGCTGCCGCTAACCTCCTTTCCTCTGTCGCATCTTGTCTGCCCCCCACAGCAGGCCGTGCCCCCCGTGGCCAGCCAGACGTCGTCTTACTCCTGCATGCTCCCCGGCGGCTCATCAGTGCGAAGCTACGATTCTTACACGCCCTCCCAGCTCTCCTCTCATAACCTGAGCTCCAGCAACGGGGCCTCTACTGGTAATAGAAGGGCTGGGGGAATGGCCGGTGTGGAGTGAGCGAAGGGATGGGAGCCTGGTACCAGGGATTTGGTATAAAGCAGGGTTTTCAGCAACTGGTGGGGAAGAGGAGATGGGGCACTGGTCAGCCACAGTTGCTTAACAGCCATGGTAACCCCCCCCCAAAAAAACCCCATATAGAGCCATGTAAGAAGAAGCACAAGGAACGCTGGAATCCTTCCTGGGCAGTGATTATATTGTGAAACGCATAATGCGGCTTCTCGTATGCATTTTTAGAAATCCCATGCATAAAGCGTGAATAAAACAACTTTCCAGTCCTTGCCATGTTGGAGCGCTAGTTAAAAACGTGTGTTGTCAGCTTCTGCTAAAACAAACACAGTGTGTTTTTCACTTGTCAAGGCTGGTGTGCACATACGCCTAGCATAATTTCAGCTACCGCACTCTGACTTAGACTCTTCCTTTATAGAGACCACAAGCCAATAGTCAGCCCCAGGAAGGAAAAGATACTGAACATGAAATTTCGAATTCTGCAAAAGGCTCCCCTAAGCCAGGCAACTGGGTGAAAGCTGGAAGTGACTTTTTTCTTTCTTTCAAACGGTCAGACATAATCCACTCCAGTTTTGGGATTTGGGGTGTGGCTGTCCAGCCCTGTCCTACTGCACAGGAGCATAAGAAATTATACTAATTCAGACCATGATTGGTCCACCTAACTCAGTATGTGGCCGATACATTCACAGGCAGCAGTTCTCCAGGAATTCGGGCAAGAGTCTTTCTCACTGAGCTTTCAGCTTCAGAATAGAACTGCATCAGTGCTTTTGCTCTCTGCCATTTGAGCTCTGTGGGCATCAACCTTGATCTAGCTATTCCTTGTGTGTGAAGGAGCTTTGCAAGCGAGTGGGCTTCCCCTTCCCCTCTGGCTCCAGCTTTGTCCCTGCAGTTTCCCTTTGCTCTGGCAAATGCTGAAGCACAGAGCAGCTCTCTGCATGCCTTGCTACTTGTACAGCTGCAAATAAGCCCTGGAATGGGAGCTTCTCATGCACCAGAAGCATGCTGTAGTGTCTGGACACTTATGCCACAGGACTCTATTGTCTATCTCCCATGCAAGCACAATATATTATTTGCAGAAGTATACTCAATACACAAGTTGGGATGCAGGTGGTGCTGTGGGTTGAACCACAGAGCCTAGGACTTGCCGATCAGAAGGTTGGCAGTTCAAATCCCCGTGACGGGGTGCAACCTAGCAGTTTGAAAGCACAAAGTGCAAGTAGATAAATAGGTACCACTCCAGTGGGAAGGTAAGCGGCGTTTCCGTGCGCTGCTCTGGTTCGCCAGAAGCGACTTAGTCATGCTGGCCACATGACCTGGAAGCTGTACGCTGGCTCCCTTGGCCAATAAAGCGAGATGAGTGCCGCAACCCCAAAGTCGGTCACGACTGGACCTAATGGTCAGGGGTCCCGTTAACTTTACTTTACTCAATACGCAGGTCATATCTTCCCTGTCTTTCTTGCCCAATAGTCTGCAGGCAAGATAGGATAAGTTTTTATTTTAATTTCATAAGGATAGGGAAATCTCGATCAAACTTGAGTGACACAGAGAGGACAGACATAAGAACTGGGGTAATGTAACATAACTTGCATACGCACTGTACATTGAAAGCACATGGCATCCTGCAGATAATTCTGCGAACTATAGTTTTTTGGGGTAGGTGCTAGGAATTGCAGCCTTGTGAAGGATAAGCTACAGTTCCCAGGATTCTTTGTGGGGAAGCTGTGTGCTTTAAACATATGGTGTGTATGCGTACCGTGTGAGCTATGACTGTCAAAAAAACAAGAACTGCAATATTGAATGCCTTTATTAGACTCTACTAAGATTAGATTCTAATCTAATCTTAGAGCCACCCGTGTTTAGAAGCACCCGCGTCCCCCAGAACTCTTGCCTGTTAATAAGCAAAGTGTGGACCTTTATATTTTTTTAAGTTCTTGCTTTTTCCTTCCAGCACCTGCTGATGTGTCTTGAGACCTGTGTCTTTTGCATAGGTCAGGGTGTAAACAATTAACAGCTGTATTATTGTGCACATTTACCTGAGAGCAAGTTCCATTGAGCACAGTGGGACTTAATAGGGCCACTCTGCAAATCAGGTGTACACATAAGCTTTGGGGGGAAAGAAAGAAAACTAAGGTATTTCAGTAGTCAGATAAGGAGTACCTAGACCATGGGTAGGCAAACTAAAGCCCGGGGGTCAGATCCGGCCCAATCGCCTTCTAAATCCGGCCCACGAACGGTTAGGGAATCAGCGTGTTTTTACATGAGTAGAATTGTGTTCTTTTATTTAAAATGCATCTCTGGGTTATTTGTGGGGCATAGGAATTTGTTCATTCCCCTCCAAAAAAAATATAGTCCGGCCCCTGTCCCCCTGCTGAAAAGGTTTGCTGACCCCTGACCTAGACGATGGGTAGGCAAACTAAGGCCCGGAAGCCAGATCCGGCTCAATCGCCTTCTAAATCCAGCCCATGGATGGTCCAGGAATCAGCGTGTTTTTACATGAGTAGAATGTGCCCTTTTATTTAAAATGCATCTCTGGATTATTTGTGGGGCATAGAAATTTGTTCTTTTTCTTTTTTCAAAATATAGTCCTGCCCCCCACAAGGTCTGAGGGACAGTGGACTGGCCCCCTGCTGAAAATGTTTACTGACCCCTGACCTAGGCTGTGCAGCAGAAAACCCTCTTCCACCTAGTGAAGCCATGTCTGTCTATAACCTCTGGATTCTCAGAGCAGGAGGCAGGCGTTTGTGTGGAAGTATTGAGCTGTTGGGAGGGGACATTTCACCTCCTTCCTGGCTGTCTTGATTTAGACAGCAGCGGGTAGTATACGGACCTGCCCTTCCTTTCACAAATTGCCGTTAACAAGGCAGTTGTTGAAACCAAAGGAGCAGGTCGCAACGTATCTTTCAGGGCCTCAAAAACCTCTGCAAGGGACTTGTCCTTCCTTAACCTTTGTCAGAATATTAATTCTTGCGTTGCCTTCCCTGCAGTCAGGGTAGTTCACTAGGGCAAAAACTTGGTTTGCTCCTCAAATCCTAAACGCTTTGACTGGAATAGGCCACTGACCCTAACATGTTTCGTTTTTCAGTTTGGCACAGTTGGTTCATGAAGGGTGGTACCCAACATATTTACTTCATCCGTGCAATGATGAATGGATGCTTGGGCAAATCCCAAATTTGCTGCGGAGGGTTGGGGGAGCCCCTGGAACAGATTTGGGGGGCATGCAGCAGGGAGGAGAGTAGGCAGTGTTCATACCCTCCAACATGTTGAATCTCAAAACTGGGACACAAGGCTTCCTGGCCGTGCTCCCGTGGGAGTCATGTGACCTGTGGGAGATCACGGGAGACCAAAGGAAGCACTTTTTTCTCACCATGCCCCGAAAAAAGCACTTGAGGGTGCAAAATCATGGCACCCCAAATGGTTGCCATGTTCTCATGGGGGGGAAGGAAGTGTGATGTCCCGGGACACTTGTGGGGTATGAGAATTTGGTTGTGCAACCGCTTTGCACCAATGAAACAAGCTACTTAGTGCTGCAACCCAATATTTATACATTTGTTTGCTGAACTGAGCTTTGCAGCCTATAACGTTTGAAGGGATTCCTTCTACAGTGGTACCTCGGGTTAAGAACTTAATTCGTTCTGGAGGTCTCTTCTTAACCTGAAACTGTTCTTAACCTGAAGCACCACTTTAGCTAATGGGGCCTCCTGCTGCCGCTGCGCCACCGGAGCACGATTTCTGTTCTCATCCTGAAGCAAAGTTCTTAACCCGAGGTACTATTTCTGGGTTAGCAGAGTCTGTAACCTGAAGTGTCTGTAAACTGAAGCGTCTGTAACCTGAGGTACCACTGTATTTCCTGACTATTTTCCTCTTCTCTCTCCCTCTCTCTGTCTCTCTCTCTTTCTAGGGTTAATCTCTCCAGGAGTGTCTGTTCCTGTCCAAGTCCCTGGTGGGGACCCTGACCTTGCCCAGTATTGGCCAAGGTTACAGTGAGGAAAGAAGCGGAACGGACTGGGGACGGGGGGACGGGGCGGGGGTGGAAACGGACGGCGGAAGGAAAGGGGGAGATGAATCGGCTGCTTACACGCCACACATTTAAAGCGCATGGCTTCCCCCAGAGAATCTTGGGAAGTGTTAGTTCATCCCTGCCGGAGCTACAGTTCACTGCGCCCTTAAGGTAAAGGTAAAGGTACCCCTGCCCGTATGGGCCAGTCTTGACAGACTCTGGGGTTGTGCGCCCATCTCACTCAAGAGGCCAGGGGCCAGCGCTGTCCGGAGACACTTCTGGGTCACGTGGCCAGCGTGACAAAGCTGCATCTGGCAGGTCAGCGCAGCACACGGAACGCCGTTTACCTTCCCGCTGGTAAGCGGTCCCTATTTATCTACTTGCACCAGGGGGTGCTTTCGAACTGCTAGGTTGGCAGGCGCTGGGACCGAGCAGCGGGAGCGCACCCCGCCGCAGGGATTCGAACCGCCGACCTTTCGATCGGCAAGCCCTAGGTGCTGAGGCTTTTACCCACAGCGCCACCCGCGTCCCCTTCACTGCGCCCTTAGCAAACTATGATTCCCAGGATTCTTTGGGGGACATAATGTGCTTTAAACGTGCAGTGTGTACAGAAGGGACTTTCCTTCCGCAGCGGGGAGGGGAGGGGAATGGCAATATCTGGGGGAAGGAGCATTGGAGAGGGCCTTCCTCAACTTTGTGTATCTATGTTAGGCAACCACGTCTGTGTGTGTTTGGTGGCAGGCCTCCTCTTTCCCTCAGTGTGCGCATCATGCGTGCGCCATCGGGGGACTGGGGACCGTCCTTTGGTCATCTTGTCTCTTTCTTCCCAATCCACATTCCCTCTCGAGACTTACTCCTTCCCTCTCTTCCCTCTCCATCTCCCACCTTGCCCTTTAGATGGCACTAAGAGCTAGGGGAGCGGGGAAGGGGGAACTGCCGGAGGTATGGCAGACAGAGAGAGGAAACATTGGGGATTCAGCACAAAGGATTTGGGGCAGACCGGGGAGAGAACCGATGGCCCTTTGGGGAGCTGGAGGAAAGCTTGAACCTTGGAAAAGGGCGGACAAACCTTGAAATCTAAAGCAAACATCGGGGCAAGAAGAACTGTGGCAATGACCGCATTGGAATCCTGTGAAAATAATTGTCGAATTGAGTACCGGCGAAGGATCACATGGGGAAAATTACACACTAGTCCCCTTTCAAGCTGTTGCAAGGGGTGGAGGGTGGGCGGAATAAAACTGCAACCATTTGGAAGAATCACCATCATCATCTTATTACTGATATGCCGCCCATCTGACTGGGTTACCCCAGCCACTCTGGGCAACTTCTGACAAAATATATTGCTAGACTCGCAGCACCACCAGTTCTAGACCTCCAAATCCACTTGTGTCTCCTTGGCTGCTCTGCCAGCCGAAGATCAAACGGCTACTTACAGCTCTTCTGCATCGCTCTCTGTCTCTCTCGGTTGGACAGGACTTGCCAAGGGACAGTCTTCACCCACAGCAGCTGGAAAAAGCAGCTTAACCGCTCAGCAGTGCCCACTATCGCCAACAGACTTTGTGGTCACCGTGATGTACCACCTGACGGAAGTTTCATAAATCTGGCCCTTGTCAGTTGGTGCCACGCATTAACCCTTCTGATTTTCTGCCCCCCTGTAGAGTCTTATGGGATAGATGGTGTTTATACGAGGCCTTGGGGCCCCCCCCCCCGCAGATTGGGGACCGTTGCTGTAGCGTTACTTCCTGGATGCGCGGAGTTCAGTCGCTCTTCCCCTTTGCAAGCCGGTCCTATAAACCGCTCCCCACCTGTCTCTTCGTTCACTTTGCCTCGCCTTCTCCGTTCCCCTCTTCTCCTCTCCCCGCTCCCCGCATGGATTTCACTTAGCTGCGTTTTCACACGGATCCTGGAGGGCTAGGGACCCCCCTCTCTCTCTCTAACCTGCACAAAATGGCCCTCTGACCACCCACACATGCACGCTACCACCTGTAGGCGCAAACTGTTTTCACGTGTGTTAATAAAGGACCCGTGTAAATAACGCTGCGTGTGAGTCTGTGTGGTTCTGAGATGCGATCTCAGTTGTGACCAGTGTGGCACAGTGGCAAAGAGACTCCCCCCTGGGAGGAGAAGGTGGCCAACCTATAGATGTGAGGTCTGGAATAAGCTGGAACTCAAGAAACTCAGTTCCGGCACCTGACAGGTGGGCACCATTGCTATTATAAGAGATCAAGGGAGGTTCTCGTGGAGTTTCGGCACCTGTGTTTTTTTAGGAAAATTGCACTTGCTGGGACAGTTGTGGCTGCTGGCATGGTCATAGGCAATATATATTTATGCAACAAAACAACACCACCACAAACTAGCTTATAGATATAAAACCGATTTTACTAGAATAGAGATAGACTTGTAACCATTCAAGCAACAAACATACTAAGGTGCCATGTGCAAAACAAAGCCTGGAGATACTGTAAACATGGAGTGGATAAATGTACAACTGTATCTTAACAAATTACATGTGCAATAAACATTATACAGACTGGATAAATGAACCGTTCAACAAGTTGCATAAGTCCAATCACAGAACGGCAACCCCATACCGCCACAATGGCAAGGGTAGCACACTGGAGAATATGAAAAAGTTTTTCAAAGCCACCAACTTGAATAATAATAATAATTTATTATTTATACCCCACCCATCTGGCTTGGTTTCCCCAGCTACCTTGGGCGGCTCCCAACAGAATATTAAAAACACGATAAAACATCAAACATTAAAAAACTTCCCTAAACAGGGCTGCCTTCAGATGCCTTCTAAAAGTCAAGATTGTTGTTTATTTCCTTGACATCTGACGGGAGGGCGTTCCACAGGGCGGGCGCCACTACCGAGAAGGCCCTCTGCCTGGTTCCCTGTAACCTCACTTCTCACGGTGAGGGAACCGCAAATAAATAAAAATACATAGCTAACTGAGGTTCTGCCCTGCACAACAAAAGGCCTGCCCGCCTAACAAATCGCCTCCCCACCCCCAGCCCAAAAATCCTAACTACACCCATGGCTGCTGTGTCAAGAGAGGTGGTTATTCATTTGGGAGAAGCACGCCAAACAAAACAGAGGTTGGTTCGGCAGTCATTCCAATTTACTTGCACAGAGCTTAGTTGGAGGTTTGACTGTCCTGGTCTTTATTGAGCATTCTCTCGTTTGTTTATGGGGCAGTTCTATGACAATAAGCATTCAGCCTCATTTGCTTACAGGATATTTACACATCTTCCCACTAATTGTTTTGCTTGTTCCACAGTTTCCCATCTACAAAGAGTTCCCTTAAAAAAAAAAAGCAGATTTGTTGCACTTTATTCCTCTTTAATTTGTCCAAAGCTTAAATTTCTGTGCTCTGAATCCCTCCTGTGAAATAGTGACAGTTTGTAGGCATCCTGAGTGTAAACAGGGGTGAGAAGAAACTTCGACTCTCCAGGTGTTTCAGGATTCCAACTAATATCAGCCCCAGCCAGCATGACCGAAGGTTATGGGTGTTGTAGTACAGCAAGGTTTGGAGGGCAGAAGGTTCCCATCTCTGATACAAAGGTAAAGGTAAAGGGACCCCTGACTGTTAGGTCCAGTCATGGCCGACTCTGGGGGTGCAACGCTCATCTCGCTTTATTGGCCGAGGGAGCCGGCATACAGCTTCCGGGTCATGTGGCCAGCATGACTAAGCCGCTTCTGGCGAACCAGAGCAGCGCACAGAAACGCCGTTTACTTTCCCACCGGAGTGGTACCTATTTATCTACTTGCACTTTGACGTGCTTTCGAACTGCTAGGTTGGCAGGAGCAGGGACTGAGCAACGGGAGCTCACTCCGTCGCGGGGATTCGAACCGTCGACCTTCTGATCAGCAAGTCCTAGGCTCTGTGGTTTAACCCACAGCGCCACCCACGTCCCGATGCAAAGGTACTGATGATCAAAATAAGGATGCAGGAGAAATTCGATTCAGTTTGCATTTGAAACAGAATCAATCAAATCTGCACTTGCCGAAACAATATGAGAACCAAAACATACCTATCCTTCCAAATTTGCACCTATCCGAATTTTGTGATGCAGTTTTCCAACCAGAATTTACAAAATGTATTTATAAGGGGAAAGTGTGCATTAACACATCCTATTAAGAGAAACTGCTTGCAAAAATGTGCACACTTGTCACAACTGCATACAAAAAATGTATTTATTAGGAGAAATAATACTGAATAATTTTCATGAGCATTTTTTAAAGAAACCAAATTGCATATTGTTGCCAAAATGTGGAGAACTGAATTTCAGGGTGGGGGGTGGGGAATGAGAAATGGAGAGAACTCACATTGGCAGATCATTCCAGATAAAACAAGGGAGACAGCAAAATTTAACAAACACAAGTTTTAAGATTTATTAAAACAAAGCAAAACTCAAAAGCTCTTGAGATGGATGCGATTGGATTATAGCTTTGGATATCATGTGTGAACTTTGAAAACCCTGTCCGTTACATGCCGTTATTACAGTTTGCTGCTGTTCTCTTTCTGATGCCTTCTTGTGCATCAACACATTTATAGCTATTTCAAGGGTGTTTTCTGTTTGTCCTATGCTCTTTGCTCAGCAAGCATCCTGCCCCTCACTCCCCCCACTTTTTGGGGTGGTGTTTTTTCCTTGAGCGCATGAGAAGGAAAAGCAACTGTGCCTGTGGTTTTGGGGTGCTAAATAGCAGCGAGGGCTGTGTGTCTCATGGCTCTGGACCATGTGTAGACTTTGATAGGTTGAAGGCTATATATATATATATATATATATATATATATATATTTAATATATCACACACAAAAATGAAATATAGAAGGAAAGAAATATCCATCACCTCCTAGCAACTAAAAAGGGAAAAAAGAAAAGAAAAACAACAGCAATAATATATTAAATAGTTCTCACAATACATTTAACATAAAAATGACTTTTTTCTATATAAGTGACTTCCCGTCTACTCTTTACTTCTATTTCTCATC